AACCTAGAAATGAATAAATCAGAAATTGGAATCATTAGCCCGAAATCAGGAGTNACGATGCAGCTCTATAACTCGTGTTGCATGACTTGAGCATGACTTTTCTACCAGCACTATGTATGCCGCACTTAGGAATGCTTCAAGAAATGCGAACGACTTCTTGTAAACAAACTCAGAGACTGTTGTTCGATGAAGATAATCATGACACCAGAACCGAAGGGAAGTCCTGAAGCTGTGAGGTTTTCATCATTATACCGGCATTACGCAAAACTGCACATGGTTACTTTGACTTGAAGATGAAACCATCACGCCACTGCCAATCACCTGATATCAATGGGAACCAAATCAAATTTCCTTTCACGAAATACACCCTATTTCACAACAATTACGAAATCTTGAGGCTCTCCTTTCGTTTGTGTGGTACATAATGGCCGCGTGAGTAAAGTGGATAGCAGTAAAGAGGCTTGAAAAGCTGTGGGAGAATTATGAGAGGAATGTTAGAAATGAGTATAAGGTTCATTGAATGCAGTCCATTAATACAAGCAGAAAATTAAGTGACATCTGAGCTGTATCGACTTCACTTCAGCCGCAAAATCTCGCGATAGAAAATTAGAGGTGAAAAATGTTTTGAAAAAATAGCAAAAGATCAGTTTAACTCAAAACCTTAGAAATGAAATGAAATCAGAACCTAGAAATCAGAAATTGGAATCATTAGCCCGAAATCAGGAGTTGATCCACTCCAGAATCACCCCAAGTAAAAAGTAATGAAATTCCAGTAATTTGGAATAAATCTAAAAACTCACGACTAGTAGCTATTGTGCTTAGCTAGATGTTCACAAAAGTGTCCAAAACATTTTGGCTAGAGCGTGCATTGCATATAAGGGCATCCGAATGTTGCCGATCCTTAGAAATAATGGACTTCCTAGCTGGCAATATAAACTGTAAATTGCCTGCACTATAAGATTTAGCTTGGTGATCATCTAATACCAAAATGAGGCTGTTAAGAATTGACTGAATGACAGGCAGTGTGGTACAATTGTGACACCGCATAACGATAGGGCAAAAACACAAAAATGTGGCCTCCTTTGCTGCACCCAGTCAATAGTCGTGGACAGAAGAGAAATGTGGCGTCGAAACACGCCCTTCTTTCGACTGGGGCTCAACGAAGTCTCCCTCGGTGCCCCAGTCGTTTTGGACAGTTCACGTTTCTCGGATCTGTCCCCTTCGGGCGCGCCGTTCCCCTGGGTGCGTGGCAAAGGCGAATACAGCAGAATTTATTAGCGAATATCAACAGGAGGTGGGTAGGCTGGCGTCGTAGTCCAGCTGGCGTCGTCCTGAAGAAGATCCTTCGAACGTGTAAGGCTTGCTTATATAAGGCGATTTCTCGCCAAAGCGCGGGTCACGCGGATTTGTTCTACGGTTTGAATAAGTCGATATTGACAAGGTTCGACAAGGCGAATATGACAACAAGAGCACAATACTATGACATTAGAGACTATTATTCTTTGACAGAAATAGATCAAACTCTCAAAGATAGGTTCATTCGAAGTGGGCAAGAAACAGAGGACATTTTAGAAACATTAATTTTTTCTATAGTTAAGTTATTTGTTGTTTTCTATAGTTGCGCATCCTCGGACGCTCGTGAGTCCCGTCCCCTGGGANTCAATAGTCGTGGACAGAAGAGAAATGTGGCGTCGAAATAAGCCCTTCCTTCTTTCGACTGGGGCTCAACGAAGTCTCCCTCGGTGCCCCAGTCGTTTTGGACAGTNGGGGGGGGGGTCCTTGTCATATTAGTACTGTATCAGTGACGAAGAGGAGGACGGTAACCGACCATCTGTGCGCTTGTACACGGCTTTAGTCACGGGAATGCAGTTTTTAAGTGAGCCTAAGTAGGTATGAGCACCTGGGTGGGTGGGATGATTATCTCGTGCGAAAGGAAAGAAAACTTGTCCCCTATGGTGCCCCTTCCCTCCTAGAGCATAGTTGAAAAATTGCATGTCCCTGATGTAACACGGCATAACACGTTTCATTGAGTTCATTCGAGTTCATTATTTGAAATCCTAACGTTGGGTTTGGTTGGGTTTGCCAGCATGGGTTTGGGTGTCCCCTCCCCAAACTACATTTTCACAAAGTTCTGTTTATGCTCATTTCACCCTTATTGGTACTATCTACGTTTGTTTGTTCGGTAACAATGATTAATTGCAGCCAATGAAGTCATCAATGGCGCTTTACTTCTCGTTGCTGTTACTGCTGGTACGTGGTTTACTCAGTTTCATGTGAGAGATTCAGTAAAGGTGGTGTGAGAAATAGATGCTGGCCAATTCAGTTTGCTTTGATGATGATGTGCTCGGCAATGCCGACCGTTTCTAGTGCTGATGCTGAAGAAAAGTCTCTTGAAAAGAACTTGTGAGTTTTTTATTGCTAAAGGAGTTATAGTCAGCACACAGTCAGCAGTCAGTTATAGTCGACACAACCAAGGAAAGGGTAACTGCACAGCTATGAAAATGCTTGGATTTTTGTCAAATTGAAAAGATATTCGCAATTCAATGCTGCTTTCAGCTTGAACTTTTTCTTTCCCACTAATTCTCATATGTTTGCTAGCATGGAAGGCAGGTTTACGATGAAAATGGTTCCCGAGATTCCCTTCCATGATAAACCTGTGGCCCTTAAGGAAAGCACGTGTTACGACGTCCGGTCGAAAAACGACTGCGACATACGCCTGTTTCAGTCAAGTATACATTTCCTCACACCCAGTTCTTACCGCTCAGAAAAGAACTTACAATCTTCTCAGCCAGTTCTATAAATATGAACTGTTGAACGCCTTCATTGTAGTGCCTTTGTTGAGATGAATTTTTCATTTTTGAGAAAATTGTCAGTAAGACACCAACTTCATAAGTCCTTCTCTTCAGGAGCGTGGTGTGGATGCATGGTTTTGATTGCTGCTGAGCCCACATATGCGATGATCCACTATTAATCCCAGCTGCAAATGAATATAATAGCCACGTTTATTTATTTATTTGTTACTATTGTTGTATTGTAAGATAACGTC